CTCAAAACAAGGTCGAGAACAGCCTGTAGCAGAATCAGATGTGATACCTGCTAAAAAGGCAAATTTCTAGGTTTACTAAATCAGAATTTCCGGGACTGAGGACTGGGAATCTGAATTTTTAACAAGCATACTTGTAGATTCTTTTTTAAAAATATTTTTTATTTATTCATTTGAGAGAGAGAGAAAGTGCACGCTCATGAGAGAGAGAGAGAGAGAGAGAGGGAACGCACAAGCAGGGCAGAGGGGCAGAGGGAGATGGAGGAGCAGACTCCCCACCGAGCAGGGAGCCCGATGCGGGGCTGGATTCCAGGACCCTGAGATCATGACTTGAGCCAAAGGCAGCCACTTAACCAACTGAGCCACCCAGGCGCCCCGCATCCTTGTAGATTCTTATGCACACTGAAGTTTGAGAACTACTGGTTTAGTTATAGTTTGGCAATGTCTCTGTAATCAATGAATTTGAGGTGGGGTTTCATGAAACCCCTCCAGCTTGAAACTGATCAAAATGTGATACAGTTAGCACCAAAAATAGTGTCAGCTCGGTAGATCAACAAGTATTCATAGTGAATGTAGTTTGAATCAAACCAATGTATGTTCTTGAACAAGGGTCCGAAAGGAATCTTAAGAATACAGGCGTACTTCATTTTATTGTGCTTCATAGATACTGTATTTTTTTAAAAATTGAAAGTCTGTGGCAACCCTGCACTGAACAAATCTATTGGTGCCATCTTTCCAACACCAGTTGCTTACTTTGTGTCTCTGTGTCACATTTTGGTAATTCTTGCAATATTTTGAACTTTTTCATTATTATATTTGTTATGGTGATCTGTGATCAGTGGTTATGACTTGCTGAAAGCTCAGATGATGGTTAGCATTTTTCAGCAATCAAGTGTTCTTTAAGGTATGTACTTTTTTTTAGACATAATGCTGCTGCACATTTAATAGACTACAGTACAGTATAAATATACCCCCCCTTTTTTTTAGAGAGAGAAAGAAAGAGCGTGAGCAGGGAGGGGCAAGGGGAGAGAGAGAGAATCTTAAGTAGGCTCCACACTCAGCCCTCTGAGCCCAATGCGGCGCTCTATCTCACAACCCTGAGATCATGACCTGAGCTGAAATCAAGAGTCGGATGCTCAACAAACTGAGTCACCCAGGTGCCCCAAATATAACTTGTATATACACTGGGAAACCAAAAATTTCAATGGACTCATTTAATGTAGTATTTGCTTTATTACAAGTGACTGGAACTGAACCCCAATATCTCTGAGGTATGCCTGCATATGAATATGTGTTGGTTAAGGCTTGGAATTAGGCAGATGTCTTGTACCCCCAATAGCCCGCTCCCGTGAGACTTGGCCTCTCCAGACACTTGCTCTCTTCCAGTTCTGGCCCTTGTTACTGTACATACCACGTCAGCCTGCCTTGGGAAACCTGAGCCCTCCAGGCCTGTGGACCCCAGCCAGTCCAGAATCACCTGCATGGCATCTAGGGTGGAGGGAGCACACCGTGCAAAATTCCTTCTGAGGAGGCAATTTAGACTGCCCACAGGCAGTCCCCATTTGGACTGGCTGCTGGATAGGGTCTATACCAATAATCGAGGCTCCCGGGTACGTCTTAGTGAAGGATACCCCGGCTGCCCACCAGACCCCATTCTGGAAGGGCAGTCCAGATTCCTCCAGCTGTAACTTCAGGGCGAATATGTGCACTTGCGTAGGTTCAGATTGGAATTCAGAAGATGCCGGCTACCTGGAACAGCCTTCTCTTTTGACCCAGCCTACCCCCACACCTGCCCTCTTCCAGTTCCCTGGCTACACAGAACTGTGTGGTGTGTGCAGGCCCAAACCACACCTTGTCAGCTGGCCTTAGCCTGTGGGGGCACTCCAGGCCTGTGGAGCTCCAGAATGAGCCTACAGGGAGGAGGGAGGCCCACTCCCCCAAAGCTTCCTGAGTCTGCAGCTTTAAACTGACAACAGCCCCAGTCTGGACTAGCTGTTTGATGGGGTATCGGCTTCTCCATCCAGCAAGTGTCTCTTACTGGAGGATATCCTGCACATCCCAACTCTGGCAAGGCAGTCCAGATTTCTCCAGCTCGGCCTTCAGGGAGAAAATGCGCATTTGTGTCGGTTACAGCTTGGGTTAGGCAGATGCACGTACTCTGGTGGTCCTGTCTCTCCCTATAGTTGCTCTGTTCTAGGTCCCTGGCTCCACTGGAACACATCTTGTCAGCTGCCTCCAGGCCTGCAGAGTTTCAGTCAGTTCCGAACCACCTGCAGAACCCCCGGGGTGGAGGGAACCCACCTCCCAAAACTCTTTCTGAGGCAGCAGCTTTAAGCTGGTGACATCAGTCCCCATTTGGAGCCGTTGCCTATGGGGTCCTGTGTTCGTTCACCAGTCATCAAGGCTCTCAGGTTTCTCATATTGGGGGATACCCTGGCAGCCCACCAGGCCCCTTCTTGGTAAGACAGTCCAGACTTCTACAGCGACCTTCAGGGGGAATATGTACGTTTTGTGCAAAATTAACTAGAAGGATGAGGAGGCCATGTGGTTTAAAACCAGACATGTACTGAAAGGTAAAATTTGGTGACAGCACTACAAAGGAAGGGCCAAGTCCTTGAGGCACTGTGAAGGAAAAATAATATAAGCTAGTAAAAACAGAAAGCCCAGTTAAAGAAATTATGGATTTGTGAGCTTTATGAAGGTCTACAAATAATTTAGTACTGTATTCCTTATGTCAAATAATGGCACAATGGTACTTAACCTTTCCTTGAGCTAAGATTCTCTTTGAAAAATATGAGAGAGGGATGCCTGGGTGGCTCAGTCAGTTAAGCACCTGCCTTCGGCTCAGGTCATGATCCCTGGGTCCTGGGATGGAAGCCCCGCATCAGGTTCCCTGCTCAATGGGGAGTCTGCTTCTCCCTCTGCCTGCCACTTCCCCTGTTTGTGCTCTCTCTCTCTGACAAATAAATAAAATCTTAAAAAAAAGAGAAAAATATGAGAGAAACTAGGTACCCTACTTCATTCTAAGAGTGGGCACTTAGCAAATGTTGGTGAGATTAAATTGTGTACATAGCGTTATGTCTTTTTTTGATTTTCCTTCACTGAATGGCATGGCTAACTTTCTTAACTTTGGTGGACACAATTATAGACCTCTTTGCTAGAAAAACAAACTCAGGGTTTCCTGTTAGGGGGAAAAAAAAAAGACCTATTGCACCTAACTTCCCTTCCTCCCAATGTTTTCCTGCAGTAATGTAAAAGATGTTAAAAATAAGAATGAAATCATAACAGTGCTACAGAAAGTGGCAGTGGCAGATTAGATATTTTGTGAAATTCTTCAAAGATAAGCAGATAGGATTGAACTGATGAAGAAGTCAAAATGCGGAAATTGTAGTCAGACCCACAAGAGATGAACGTGATTCATTCTGAGGGAGCCACAGATAAGGTTGGAGCTTCACTCATCACATTGTAAGTAATATTCCAAGCAAACGAGGTTCTTAATGCAGTTATTCAAGAAGATATTTGTTGGGAAAACAGATATACATGACTAAAAGGGAAATCAAGACCAGCCATCCCTACTAATCCATAGAATTCTTCATTTGTGGATTATGATTCCTGAATATTTGAGAAAAACCCAGAGCATGAAAGAGAAAGTCCAAGATTAATAAATTAAAACAACTGAGCCCTGAGAAACAGAGGTAATTTAGGGAGCAGAGGAGAACTTGAAAAAAATTCCAAGTAGGATTTTTTTTTTTTTTAAGATTTTATTTATTTGAGAGAAAGCGTGCACAAGTGGGGGCGGGGGCGTGGAGGGGCAGAGGGAGAGGGAGAAGCAGACTCCCTGCTAAGCAGGGAGCCCAACACGGGGATTGATCCCAGGATCCTGAGATCATGACCTGAGCCGAAGGCAGATGCCCAACCAACTGAGCCACCCAGGCGCCCCCCAAGTAGGATTCTTAAAGATTCAAGAATAGATTACATTCATAAAATAAGAAGTGGCCATTATGAAAAAGGAGCAATCAAATAGGAACGTATTCTTAGAAATAAAAAAAGAAGAACGGAGTTGCTGAAGACTAAATTAGTGTCTGGAAAATAAAATTTCCTAGGATGTAGAGAAATATTAAAAAGCTGGAAAACAGGTGAGAGAAGTTGAGCATGGAGGATAAATCCAGGAATTTCAAGTTCAAGAATACAATTTTCCTGAGTCAAAGACAAGTGTAAGCCAGATTTAATTAGACAGGAAAGAGATATACATGCCTAGCGTGTATCTAGTTCTAGTGAAATTTCAGAATTCCATGGATAAAAAGAATATCTTAAAAAGATTTAGAAGAAAAAAAAAAGAAAAGAAAGAAACACCACCAGATTACTTACTTTGGATTAGAATGATACCAATCAGACTTTTCATCAGCCGTCCTGTATGTTAGAAGACAACAGAATACTACATTCACATTCTGGGGCAAAATGATTTCAACCTGAGAATGTATACCTTGCTGACTGATAGGTAAGTGGAAGGGCAAAATACACACATATTTGGACATGGCATAATCAGAAAGCTTAGTGCTCAAGTATCTTTTAAAAAATTACTTCAAGAGGGGCGCCTGGGTGGCTCAGTCATTAAGTGTCTGCCTTCAGCTCAGGTCATGGTCCCAGGGTCCTGGGATCAAGTCCCACATCAGGCTCCCTGCTCAGCGGGAAGCCTGCCTCTCCCTCTCCCACTCCCCCTGCTTGTGTTCCTGCTCTTGCTATCTCTCTCTCTGTCAAATAAATAAATAAAATCTTTAAAAAAAATAAAAAAATCACTTCAAGAAAATGAAAAAAAATAGTATAAGAAAGAGGACATCATGCATTATAAGAGCAGGGAAAAATGTGAAATTTTAGAAAATCTAGGTATAAGTATAGCTCATAAAATTCATGCTAGTCACTAGAAGAACTAAAACCAGATATTTTTGACAGGATTGCCTCTGATGAACGGAAGTGGGTAGAAAGAACTTTTACCTTGTATTTTATACCCTTCTGTATTAATGAATTTATTTTTGTTTTAAATACAATCACTTGTAACAAAAATTTTAATAAAAAATTTAAAAGGCACTCCTACCCCAATCTAACAGTACTTATATTCTAAGTGTGTTGTCAGATTCCTTCTTTAGAAATTTTATTAGAAGATGAACTAGTTCATTTAGTATAGGATGGTTTTGGAACCAGTCTGGGGTGCTGCTGTTAAGACAGGTCTGCAAATAAAACATTTCGGAAAAATCCTTGATCAATTCAGCACACATACAAAAACAGTCAGATGTAGACTTATAAGAAAGATGACTTTCTTTTCTTCACAATAACCTGAAAGTGAATCTTGCAAATTAAAAAAACTTAAAAAAAAAATCCAAAACTTTCTTTCTGCTTCAAAAATTTTGTCTTGTGGTGTAAAGTGTGATTGTCCAATATGGTAGCCACCGGCCACATATGGCTGTTGAAACTCGACATGTATCTAGTTCAAACTGAGATGTGCTGTAAGGGTAAAATACACATCAGATTTCAAATACTTAAAAAAAAAAACTGAAAAATATCTCATTAATAATTTTTAAAATATTAATTACATGTTGAAGTGTTTTTTTTTCACAGCACTGGGTTAACTAAATTTTATTAGAATTAATTTTATGTTTATTTTAAAACCCATATGTGGTCCTTATTCGTGGCTTGCATTGTGTTTCTATTATTCAGTGCTGTTCTAAAGCATCAATATGTAGCACACATCCATTACTACTCAAAGGGGGTTTCTATAAAGAGAGTTTTGAAGGAGAAAACTCACATTTTGGCTTTCACTTGCCAAGACACTCCCCTGGCAATGAAGAAAGGATCAATGCTAGCAATATTAGAACAAGACAGAGTGAGAACAGGAAGTTGGGAGAAGAGGGAACATGACTGAATTCAGGGAGAAGGAATGCCATTTCTAATATAAAAAAGTTTGTTGGTTGAATGACTTCCAATAAAATGTTTGCTTCTAAGGCTTGTACTCTTTTAATACCATAAATTATTCTTTTTATAATCATATTCTCTTAATACTTTCTTTACGCAATGCCATTCTAGCTAGGAATTCTCTACCTACAATTTCCTCAGAACTTTTCTACATGTATATTGGTATTTTTTATGTTAGGGCATTTCCTACATTGATGTGGTAATTACAACATTATTTTAATCCTGTACAAAGGCCTCTATACGGATTCAAACTGCCCAAAGTGGGCAATACATTGCAGAACAGAAGTTATCTCAATCCTAGCAGTTATCTTTCAAACAATATTTATCCTCGTGTCAACTGAGCTTCTCCGACCCATCTGAAAAGATCACTTTTATCAGTAGAGGGAATTTGCATATTTCTCTGTAAAAGATGGATGATTAGCTTATTTCCTGAGGAATGTTACAGTGCATTTGTGTTCTCTTGTCACTATAGATCATTTCTCACTTGTGATTTTTTATTCTGTCATGAACTATGAAAAACAATTACAGTGTTTATCAACAGAGCAGCTCTGTGGAAGGTAAAAGACACAATTAAGTTGGGAGTGAGAGCTTTCTTTACAATAATCAAGAGATGGTAAAGGAAGAGAAATGGGGGATATTAAAAAAAAAATCCAGGGGTGCCTGGGTGGCTCAGTCGTTAGGCATCTGCCTTCTGATCGGGCCGTGGTCCCGGGGTTCTGGGATGGAGCCCTGCATTGCATGGGGCTCCCTGCTCAGCGGGAAGCCTGCTTCTCCCTCTCCCACTCCCCCTGCTTGTGTTCCCTCTCTGGCTGTGTGTTTCTCTGTCAAATAAATAAATAAATAAAATCTTAAAAAAAAATCCAGAAACAATAGAAAGTAGGAGTCCTTTTAGCCACTGCCAGTATTAAAAGATGATATTAGGGAAAGGTTGTGAATGCTTCTACTTTTACATTCTATCAACCCTGTATAAGGCTATTGTTGGGGTCAAACACCTTAATAATTGCATTAGGGATGGACAATTAGTTCAGCGATTAGCAAATAGGTCCTTTATCAATGTTTGTTAAGTAAGTAAGAAAATTCATGACTTATGGTTCTATTTTCTACTTCTATTTTCAAATCTCATGACTTAGCATAAGATGTTATGGTCTCGTTACTAAAATGGCTGGCCACTTTACAGAGAGAGTAATTTGTCCTTTGTTCTCGCTGCTATAGATGTTTTTCCCCTTCTCAGGTTGAGAATGAAGCCAGATCTTGCATTTCTTTGCCTACATGCCTTTTGTGTTGCAGGAGGAAGCAGCAGTTGCCAGGCAAGAGAACACAACTTTCTCCTTCTCAGGCTTTTTTTTTTTTTTTTTTTTGCAATAGCTTTGGCTCAGGGAGAATTATGTAGAAAGTGATAGAGGTAAATGCTTGAAGTTTACAGGAGAAAGCTGTGGAATCCAAGGGGAGAGGAAGATTCCTGAGACTAAGAGATGGGGCAGGGTTCTAGGAGGGTTTCTGGTTTATAGGCATCACCCCAGGAAGGGGACGGGACAATGTCAGGATGGCGAAATCCCAGTTTGTGGCCTTGGAAGCCATGCACAGATGTCCTCTGCCTACCTTCAGGACACCATGTGGGAATGAATGGACAGTGTGTTTATTGGAGACCAGGGTGGACAGCAGCCTAGACTAGGACCCTTATCCAACTCTTCCCACCAATTACATTCTGGGACCTTTAGTAATACCTGAGAAGGTGAAGAACCCTACCAATGAATGAGACTGAATTTCCCACCAACTGGATGGTTAAAGGCTCAGTGTGGGATAAGATTGTTTAGAATACATTTCAGGCTAAATGCAATGGTATCATTCATGAAAGTGCTTGCTTGGACAATGACCAGTCCGTAGCATGAAATGAAAAGTTGTTCACCAAACATGAGAACTAGATGTGACTCCTATGTTCATCTAGTCCAGACTCTTCATTTTTAGATTACGAAACCAAGGTTTAAGACTTAAAATAACTTGTTCCAAGTTGTTGGTCTGAAGCCAGTGCAGAGCTGAGGCAGGGTGTCATCAACCTTCAGCTCACTTTTCTTTCTAGTTTGTCACTTGAGAAATTCAGATCTATTTGTGGTGATTAAATACATTATTATTTCATCATGGCCATGAAAAGTTCTCATCAAAGTAAATCTCTTACTTTTAAGATAAAATAAAGAAATCGGAACTATAAAAGTATCTAGGTCTGATGATGGTAGAGGTAAAAAAGAAGAAACGTGGCTGCCTGGAATTTCCAGTTATTTCCCATTATAGAAGTTGTGGGGGAAATGACCTGAGCTACCATTACAGGAGTTGATATTACAGGTTCTGAGCATGAAATGCCTCTCTCTAAGGCAGTTTCAATACAGCTATGTGTTAACACACACACATACACATACAGAAATCTGTTAGCTACCAAACACTGGGTAGGAGTTTCTTTTCAGGAGTGTGTACATGTTTGTATTCAATCTACTTAACAGCTAAAGAGATGATTTATTTATACCTTCTAATTGGGTCTTACTTCCTAAGAAGCATCCTACATGATACTACTTCTAGTTTAATTGTCCTCATTTTCCAGTCTTCTTTAATCTATGTCTTTGGCACACATTGTAACCTTTTGCTCTTTGCAGGAAAAAGGCTGATTGGAGTTCGATTTCTTCTTTCTTTCTAGACATCCGTGCCAGAGAGTGTAACTATCCTTTGCAGAAGAGCCTCCTTCTAGCCGAGAATGAGAAGCCTGCACTACAATGAAGAGGGTAACCATCTGGAGACCTAACCAGGTAACCTGGGGCTCATCCTTCAGTCCCTGAGTCTCTATGAGCTCAGACCCTGCTCTAGACAGGCTCGAAAGGAAGGGTGTGGGGAGGGTGATGTCCACACGGTGAAAGCCTGTCCTTCGAATGAGGCATCACTGAGAGATGCTGTGTCCCAGAAGGTTGATCCGGTGTGTCCGCCCTTAGCCAGCCATCTATTCAGATGTTCCGATAGGGGTCCCTGTGCCAGCAGGGCCCGTGGCGGAGGAGGATAAACAGCAGCACCACTAGGACACCAGACACCAGGCAAAAGGCAACGGCAAGGGCGACCCTTAGAACTGTGGAAAAATTGGAAGAGCAATAATGTAAAATTAATGGTTTAGGAAAATATAAAGATTGTAAAATTAATAGGTGAGGAAAATAGGAAGAGCACACATCAGTGCCTTGATTGTGAACTTCAGTGGCATTTCTGAAGCAAGCTTGAAATCAGCATAGTGTTTTTTTTTTTTTTTTAAAGATTTTATTTATTTGACAGAGAGAGATACAGCGGGAGAGGGAACACAAGCAGGGAGAGGGGGAAGCAGGTTTCCCACTGAGCAGGGAGCCTGATGCAGGGCTGGATCCCAGGACCCTGAGACCGTGACCTGGCCAAAGTCAGATGCTTAACTGATGAGCCACCCAGGCGCCCCCGCCCCCGGCCTTTCTTTTTTTTTTGATTAAAGTTTTTCTAAGGTCCTTTCCCAGCATTAACTTCATGCATTTTTATACAGTTAAAATGATCAACTGCTCATGGTCTCAGGGTCAAAGGAAATACTATCATTAATTAGGTCTAAAAGAAATGGAAAAGCATCTTCTAGTTTCTGAATATGATTTTCAGTAAATATCTTTTAGAGAGGAAACCTTGAGTACCTGTTAACAGTGGCAAGCATTTTTGGGATGTGTACTATTGCTAATCTGTACCTTTATTTATACATATCCCTTTGAGAGCTGACCAGTCATGGAAAGATATAGGGGGTCACTTTTTATGAGATGCTATTCATTATTTTATCTGGAAAATTACCTTACACACGCACACACACACACACACACACATCGCAAATATAAATTTGTACCACCTCTAAATGTATGTCTGATCTTCCCTAAAAATAAAGGATTGCTTGTTGGCTTAGACAGTAGGAGAGCAAACATCTCTCTGATCCTGGCAGCTCTGTCTACAGAAGCCCTAGTGCTCCATGGAACACAGTTGAAAAATCACTTATTTCACCTAACCTTATCATTACAGAGACGAAAAAAAAAAAAGTAGAGGGATTAGATAATTTGGCTAAGGATAAGCAAATAATTGTATTTGGGTTGGAATATGTGGGCTTATCAGTCTCATGATTTTAAAAACCATCTGTTCACTAATGACTTCCAAATTTAAATCTTCCCCAAACTCAAGACTCATATATCCAACTGTGTACTTGACCTATTCCCTTGGACATCTAATAGGCATTTTAATCTTAGCAAGTCCAAAAACTAAACTCCTGATTCCCTTGTGCCCTCCCCTACCCCAAACTCTGTTCTCCCTGCAGCCTTCCCCATTTCATTTGATGGAAACTTCCTTCTTCTAGCATCTCAGCCCCAAAGTCTTGAAAATTCCTTGACTCCTCTCTTTCTCTCACATTCTATAATCAATCTGTCAGGAAATCCTGTTGGTTCTACCAAAAACTATACCCAGAAACCAGGGATTTCTCCCCTTCTCTGCCACCGCCCTGTTTTGAACCATAATCAACTTTTGCCAGAATTATTACAACATCCTCCTGACTTGTTCCCTAGTGTCTATCCTTTCTCCCCTACAATCTGTTTTCAACACAGCAGCCAAATGACCTCAAGTCAAATCATGACACTCCTCTACTTAAAACAAAGTCTGCAATGAATGCTCATCTCACTCAGAATGAAAGCCAAAGTCCTAATGATAACAGTTTAAGAGACTCTATATCATCTGGCCTGATTAACCTCTTGGAGTTCCTCTCCTACCACTCTCCCTTCACTTACTCTTTTGTCCACATGGGCCTTCTTGTTCTTCCTTAGACATGCCAGAAACACACCCATTTACTGCCTTTGCTGTAGTTGCTACCACCGCCTAGATGCTCTGCTCATGAATCTCTGTATTAGCTAACTCCATCAGCTTCTTTGCTCAAATCTCATCTTTTTCTATTTTTTAGATTTATTTATTTGAAAGAGAGAGAGAGCAAGCAGGGGAAGGGCAGAAGGAAAGAATCTGAAGCAGACTCCCCACTCAAACTGGAGCTTGATGTGGGGCTCGATCCTACAACCCTGAGATCAGGACCTCAAGCTGAAATCAAAAGTCAGATGCCTAACCAACTGAGCCACCCAGGCGCTCCTTAAATTTCATCTTCTCAGTGAGGGCTTTCTTTTTAAAGATGCAACCAATATGCCCCTTCCCCACACCCACCCCCAGCTTGGCACTTGGGATTCTCACCTTCCAAAGTATTTATTTATTATGTTTATTATTTATTACCCATCCCTCTCTCCCTCTAATAGAATATAAGCTTCATGAAGGCAGAAATCTTTGTCTTTTTTGTTCCTGAATGTATCCCAGGCACTTAGAATAGTACCTGGCACATAGCAGGTGCTCAATAAATACTTGTGGAAAGAATTAATGATCTAGAATTCACAGGTTCTCAATTCTTAGTTCAGTGCTTTTCTCATGATGTCAGGATGCCTCTTAGCATCATGAGAAGGTGAATATTAATAAAATTAGATCCTGGTGGACAGGTGCCATTACCACTGTGAGTTAATATAAAGGTGGAGGGAACTGAACAGACTTGAGGAAGGAAGGAAAGGAATAAATGGAAACGAGGGAAGAAGGCAGAGACTAATGAATCTTTAAAATTAATGTTCATTAATGTTCATGGGTGACTTTCTGTATCTGGAAATTTATTTTCAATTTTTTTTTTATTGGCTCTGTTGTCATAGTAGTCCCATGGAATATGCTTTCTCAATCTTTTTTCCTCCTTCATTCTTTCCCAGACATGCAGTGGGCACACACCATATGCTAGGCCACCTATTGGCCTAACCCAGTTTTGGGTTCTGGGGTTCCATGATCCCTGCTTTTGGGATCATCAAAATCTAGTGGGAGAACCAGATAGACAATTATGAGGTCATGTGATAAATAGTAAAATAAAAGTGTAAAAGACTTGCCATTGGAGTAGAGAAAAAGCTGAGATTAATACAAAGCTTTCTATTTAGAAGAGAAAGAGGTTGGAAAGCCTTCTCAGAAAATGCTTAAGATTTGAGCTGGACTTTGAAGTAAATAAGAGTTTGCCGTGAGACAGAATGAGTTGCACAAGAGTGCCAATGAGCAGCTGCCCGTGGCTGGAGGATAGCTCCTGGTGAGTTGAGACCAGAGAGGTAGGTTGGGGCCTAGGTCTTTGAAGGTCTGGTTTGTCATGGGGCACGTGGAAATCATCAAGTATGACCCATGGAAGTGACTTGGCCCAATTTGTGTTTACAACAAGAAAACAACTGCAGAGAAAGATAGGGTGGTGGAGACACTCTAGGCCTGCTGACTATAGATATGCCTTTGACAAGATACTGAGGGCTTAGCACTGGACGTGTGGTCCTGACGATGCGGATGAGGGAATTCTAGCATACTCCTGAAGTAGAACCGACAGGCTCCGTCGTGGACTAAATGTACTGGTCAAGGAGAAGTGGAATCACGGCCACTCATGGGTTCTAGTTTGGGTGAAGAAGATGATTAGGCTACGAACTGAGATTGGAAGCACATTAAAAAGGATCAGTTTGGAGTGGAGGAGACAATAAATTTCATTTCAAATGTAGGCTTATTATCCTCGTAGAAAGGGTCAGTAGGTAGCTGGAAAAAACAGGTCTTCTGTATGGAGACATGGAAATAAGGATTGTAGGTGTAGAAGATGAGACCTGGGTAATAGTGGCCCATGGGAAGGGTGGAGTGAGGGCACCAGGGACCTGATCATTTAGGGAGCTGGAGGAAGGTATGAGTCTGAGGACATAGAAGATACTCAGGAGAGATTCTCTCTCTCCCTCCCTCCTTAATTTTTTAAATTACACACTACCTTGTACTGTGAAGGATTTTGTGAGTTTGACAGAGTAATGTTCTAGAATCTGAGAAAAAGAGGGAGTGATCCATCGTATCTACTACAAAGAGACAGTGCTGGAAATGACTGAAAGCCCTCTTACCACATGGGAACACGAGAAGGCTGCTGAAGGCAGTGTGAATCAGCACTACTTTTCTGAAAACTATTTTGGCAATAAGTATTAATCACCATATATTACATAATTTGTTTTGGTGTAGTGTTCCATGATTCATTGTTTGTTCATAACACCCAGTGCTCCATGCAGAATGTGCCCTCCTCAATACCCATCACCAGGCTAACCCATCCCCCCACCCTCCTCCCCTCTAGAACCCTCAGTTTGTTTTTCAGAGTCCATCATCTCTCCTGGTTCGTCTCCCCCTCTGACTTACTCCCCTTCATTCTTCCTCTCCTGCTATCTTCTTCTTTTTCTTTTTTCTTAACATATGTTGCGTTATTTGTTTCAGAAGTACAGATCTGTGATTCAACAGTCTTGCACAATTCACAGCGCTCACCGTAGCACATATCTTCCCTAATGTCCATCACCCAGCTATTTTGGCAATAAGTATTAAAAGCCTCTTCCTCTTGCTGTTACTCCCCAAGTCCTGTCTACACTTCCTCTTTCCTCTTTGAATAAGTCTGCCCTCACTCTCATCCTTGGATGATTGCAACAGCCTTCCAGCCATGCTCCCTGCCCGAAGTCCCACTGCTCCCCAGTCCACGTTCCCCGTGAGGGCAGAGGTCTTTCTAAAACAAGAAGCCTGTCCCGTCATAGGTCCTCTGCCTGAAACCTTTCTTTTTTTTTAAAAGATTTTATTTACTTGAGAGAGAGTGAGGGAGAGGGAGCAGGGGGAGGGGCAGGAGAGGGAGATGCAGACTCCCCGCTGAGCAGGAAGCCTGACGCGGGGCTCGATCCCAGGACGCTGGGATCATGACCTTAACCGACTGAGTCACCCAGGTGCTCCTATCTGCCTAAAACCTTTTAATGGCCAGAGCTACTCAACTTGACCCGAGACACTTAATGCCCACCTCCTCAGCATCTTCGCGCTCTAACCAGACATACTCCTTCTAATTCCTAAAATGCCCCATGCTGTCTCTAGCCTTTGGTCTTCTCCACATTTTCTTGTTTGTAACATTTTCATCTTTCCTCACCTCCACTCACCCAGTTAATTCTTTCTCTCTTTCAGGCTTTGGTTTAAACATCACCCCCTTTGAAATGTCTT